TTGTTAATGAGTCTTCCTCCAATCCTGATGCCACGTTCTTCTTCATATAATCCAGTTTTTCAGATTGTTTAGCAAACTAACTGAAGGAGTGTGGTGAAAGAATACAATCCTTGCACATACCTTTCCTGATTTTAAACCATTCAGCGTCCCCTTGTTCTGTTCAAATGACTGCCTCTTGGTCTATGTACTGGTTCCTCATGAGCACAATTATGTGTTCTGGAATGTCCATTCCTTGCAATGTTATCCATAGCTTGTCATGATCCATACAGAACAATGCCTTTGAATAGTCAATAAAGCACAGGCAAACATCTTTCTGGTATCCTCAGTTTTCAGTCAAGGTCCATCTGACATCAGCAATATCTCTCATTCTGAATCCAGCTTGAACTTCTGGTAGTTCGCTGTCAATGTACTTTGCAGACAATTTTGAATTATCTTTGGCAAGATTTGTCTTGCATGTGATATTAAGGATATTGTTTGATGATTTTTGCATTCCTTTGGGTCACCTCTCTTTGGAATGGCCACAAATAGGGAAGTTTTCCGGTCATTTGGCTAGGTAGTTAGCTGTCTTCCAAACTTCTTGGCACAGATAAGTGCCTCCAGTGCTGCATCTGTTTGTTGAAAGATTTCAATTTGTATTCTGTTATTTCCCAAAGTCTTGCTTTTTGCCAATGCTTTCACTGAACCTTCTTTCTTCAATACCATTGGCTCTTGATCATATGCTTACCTCTTCAAATGGTTAACCATCAACCATTTCTTTTTTTCCCCCTACCATTTCTTTTTGGTACAGTGACTTTGTATATATTCCTTCCATCTTTGATACTTTCTATTTCATTCAATATTTTGCCCATAGAATCCTTCGATATTTCTAGTCAAGGGCTTAATTTTTTCTTCAGTTATTGCAGTTTCAGAAATGCTGTGTGTGTTCTTGGCTTTTGTGTTTCTAACTAGGTCTTTGCATATTTCATTATAATGCTTGACCTTGTCTTCTCAAACTGCCCTTTGAAATTTCTGTTCAGCTCTGTGACTTCCTTATTTCTCCTATTTGATTTAGCATGTCTACACTGGGGAGCAAGTTTCAAAGTTTCCTCTGACATCCATTTTGGTCTTTTCCTTCTTCTTATCTTCTTAATGACCTTTTGCTTTCTTTCTGTATAACATTTTTTATGTCATCCCATGACTCTCCAGGTCTTAGGAAGATCTCTAAATACAGGTGGGATTCAAGGTCATATTTAGGCTCTTGTGGACATGTTTCATTTTCTTCAGCTTCAGTCTTAACTTGCATATGAGCAACTGATGATCTGTTTTATGTTCTACCCTTGGCCTTATTTTGACTGATGATATGGAGCTTTTCCACCATCTCTTTCCACAGATGTAGTCAATTTGTTTTCTGTGTGTTCTATCCTGGTGAGGTCCATGTGTATAGTCATTTTTTGTTGTTTAAAAAAAGCATTTGCAATGAAGAAGTCATCAGTCTTGCAAAATTCTATTGTGATATCCAGAGTTGTTTCTATGAAAGCCATGCTTTCTAACTGCTAAACCTTCCTGTTTCCAACCTTTGCATTCCAATCAACAATTATCAATGTATCTTGATTGCATGTTTGATCAATTTCAAACTGAAGAAGTTGGTAGAATTCTTCCATTTCATCATCACTGGTTTTAATGGTAAATGCATAAACTTGAGCAATAGTGGTGTTAACTAGTCTTCCTTATGGTGGTTATGTGCCGTGGAATGGTTCTGACTCATAGTGACCCTGTATAGGGTTTCCAAGACTGTAAATCTTTATGGGAGCAGAAAGCCTTAACTTTCTCCCATAGAACTGGCAGTTTGGAACTGCTGACCTTGATATTAGCAGTTCAACTCGCAACCACTATGCTACCAGAGCTCCTTGGTCTTCCTTATAGGTATATAGATATTATCCCATGACAGCATTAGAATATTGAAATATGCATAGCTCTAGAATATCGACAGATATAGTACTGAAAGATGATTCCCTCAGATTGGAAGGCACTCAAAATACAAAGGAGAAAGAGCTGCCTCCTCAAAGTAGAGTTGACCATGATGATGTAAATGGACCAAAGCTTTCAGGACCTTCATTTGCTGATGAGGCACAACTCAAAATGAGGAGTAACAGCTGTAACTATCCATTAATAATCAGAACATGGAATGTTAAGTATGAATCTAGGAAAACTGGAAGTTGTCAAAAATGAAATGGAACTCATAAAGCTCAATATCCTAGGGTGGTACAGGCGATTTTGAATCTGACAGTCTTATGTTTTACTATGCCAGGAATGACAAATTGAAGAGGCGTGGTGTCACATTCACCAAGAAAAAGAACATTTCAAGATCTATCTTGAATATAACATGGACTGCCAAAATTAGAACATATCTGTTTTGGAAGCTGTACCACCGGTTTATTCCTTGGAAGCAAAGATGTTGAGATTTCATCTCTCATACCTGGAATATGTTGTCTGGAGGGGCCAATCCCTGGAGAAGGACATTGTGCTTGGTAAAGTGGAGTGTCAGCAAAAACAGAGGAAGCCCCTTAGTGAGATAGATGGGCACAGTGGCAACAACAATGGGTTCAAACATAACAACAGTGAGAAGGTTGCAGACCAGGCAGTGTTTCGTTGTGTTCTAAGTTATGGGTCACTAAGTCTCAGTCAATCGGATGGGACCTCACAAGTTACACCCTTTTTTGTTTACAACAATGGCAAATGTGATCAGCTTTCCTTGAGCTCCCTCTCACTAGGCACCTTGCTAAAATGAATGGGCAGATCTCCTTTCTTTTGATGAGCAGGTCAGAAGTAAGTTGGATGCCAATTGACTTATGGCTCCTACAGGTTGGAAAGCATTTACTTGTCAAGGGATCTAGAAGGTGAAGCAGAGAATGCAGCACTAAGAGGAAAACAACAATTATGAGCAGCCATTGCAAGCTGCCTTTAAGTGTTACCTCATGCTTCCAAAAGTTTCACATAATTAACTAATTTCTCCAAGAACAAATTAGTTTTCTCAGGCCTCCTTCCACCAGAGGATATATGTCTCTCACATATTACTTAATACCTAACAAAATTTTAGCATGACTTAATTACTCAGCATGCAACTCACTACTGGAAAACTTTTCTATCAACCAAAACAATAAACATTAAATTATTTGGTTATGAAGGAGTTAAATATAAACATTAAAGTCCTTTTTGGGGAATCTTTCAAATCTTCTTGCTCCAAGACCTTCCCCTTGCTGTACTGTCTTAACAACTTTTAGAATCACTGTAGTCTCTTAACAGTGTTGTTGGTAAGTGCCATCAAATCAGCTGTGACTCACAGCGCCACTGTATAGGGTTTCCAAGGACTGACTGGTGAGTTTGAATGGCCAACACTGCAGTTCAAACTGACCTGTCTGAACTCTCTTAATACCTCATAGAAAGTCTGGACATGAGTTTTATTATCCTCATTTTAGAACTAAGGAAATGGATGCCCAGGATGTTTGATTTACTTTTTTTAAGATCACATGGCTAAACAGGTGATGAGGCCAAAGTAGATTTTAGTTTTGCCAATTCTAAAGCTGTGTGTTTTACTTTTCTCTACATTCTTCTGTCATTAGACTTGCTTTCCATACGACGGGCCAGGATTCCAAATTCTCCTGAGTTGTATATTTACCCATGTAGCTCTCCCTTTGCTATTCCTAAGTGTATACTCTGAGCTGCCATTTGTTGGGTTCAGTCTTCTTTCAGCGCCCCCTTTTCTTGTTATTTATGGTGGTGTCAGTCCATATGGTCTTAACTCCCATTTCTTACTCCTGTTAAATGTCTCCTACATGTCTGTTTTCTAGCAGTCAGTCCTGACTTTTCTCTGAAATAAAATTCATCTGTACTTGTCCATTTCAAACACTTTACAATGAAAAAAATTAAAATGTGTGAAGTTGGTACTAAAATTATAATAAACAAAGACCAGAAAAAGAATAACTCCAGTACTTATTTTTCATTTTCTTTTATATTTAGATCTTTCTGAGATAAGAAAGGTGATTTTCATGTGTAAACATTGGAACAACCTCAATTATATTAGTATTACAATCATAACCATCTTCTAAAGGAGATGCTAAATGAATAGTTTAATGGAAAAATAGTTATATTTATCTTTCAGAATAGAGAAACAGTATCTGCATATTTGAGGTAATATCTGTCTAACTGATAGTTCTCCCAGCCATGGGAATCACTGCTCAGTGGATACAATACACATTGCTTGTTTAAGCTCAGACCTACTCTGCTGTAAAATCTGGCTACCTCAGTGCTATGGCAGTTGTGCAGAGAACGGTCGACCCTCATGTAAACTGGAAAAGTCAGAATGCTACTGATTATGCCATTAACACAAATGTCAACAGAAAACAGACAAGTGCAGAAGCACAGCAACAAAAATGCAGTCATCAATACAGCCGTCTTGTAAGAGTAAACCATAGTTATCATCAGATTAAAAAAAACAAACCTAAGGTCAAAGGTCACACTGTTTTCACTGTTTGCTCTTTCTGACTCTTCCCTATAAACACAATGGCTAATTATGATGATCTAGCCTTTATTTAATGTTAACAAATTTGGTGATATTGAATACTATTGTCAAACATCATCATTAAACAGACTACTATTATTATTGAAAATTCATAAAAGTTTTCAAACTATTAATGGTGTTAATCAACTCAAAAGTCTAATAATGAATTTTTCCTTTTATCAATAACCAGCCACTATACACTAATGTTTATATAAATATGTAAATATGGTGTTTAACATGCTTTTATTTTTCTTAAGAGCTGGAATACAGACTTTACAATCTATCTGAAACGCCATCAAATACTGTGACAATGGCATCACCGTACAGCCTATGTGTGGCATTAAAGAAATTGGCTGGTCACATACAGTGCATGTTTCCAAACTGAACTGTGAATTTCTTAGAGGCTAATGTGATTACACACTAATGGTCTTGACACGGTGTACCACATCTTCTTTCACAAAGTTCACAGGCTTTTCTTATTGCCTTTTCCTACATGATCCTGTAAGAAAAAAATATGACTTAGGTAGTTATATCAGAGTGAGAAACAGATGAAAAGATACAAGGACTTCGCTTTTTGTAAAAACGGTACTGTGTGGCATCAGCTCTCTAACTTCGTAAGTGAGGAGAAGACTCATGATCAGTATCAGCCCAAAGCTGATGATTCCTGTGAAGTGGAGGTCAGACACACCTCCAAATCTCCAAGTGTTGTGCTTTCTAATACTAGTTGTCTCTTCCACAGCAGTTTCTACTTCTCTGCTGGATTCTAGAATTGATTGTAGTAACCACACAGAACTCACATACTACAGCCAGTTATGGGGTTTATTAAGCAAGTTGTTGTTGTTGTTAAGTACAATTGAGTCAGTACCGACTCACAGCAACCTTGTGTAAGGTTTCCAAAGAGCAACTAGTGGGTCTGAATTGCAGACCTTGTGGTTCACAGTCCAGTGCTGATCCTACAGGAGTCCTCTTAAAGAAGTAACAGGTTATAATTCAGGATCAGAAATGACTCAGGATACAGTTCTTCAGTCAGGAAGCTTCTTCTCAGCTATGCCCAGACAGGTTCCTCTCTCTTAGCACTTGGTCCCCTAGGGCCTGGCCTCTACCTTGCCTTTAAGTATTACAATGCTCTTTAGTTTTGCTATTAAGTGCCAAGAAGCAATTTACTCTGCCCGAACGAGTCCAATGGCACTCAACTCTCACTCCCCAGGTCAGTAGGCTCACAGTAGTCACCTCAGACTGGGTGCTGGGACGCTCACTGCACCATCCTGCTCCGGTCTGCTAGTTCTGATGATGCTGTGTCTGCCACTGCTTCTTGCCACCTCTAGAGTTACAGCACTCTCTGTCTCCTGGGTCTAAGAGGTTTCCAGTGTAAAGGACAAGCTCTGCTCTAGGCTCTTCTTGGTGGGAAAGAGATTTCCTCTCTTTGCTTCTGGGATTGACTCATTTTAAGACTAGTGGGATGGCAAAATTGACCAACTCCCTCACTGGGGTTCCATATACTTTATTTTACATAGTCCTAAATTGGGCTGCTAATCTCATTCATGGTCAGCAGTTTGAAACTACTAGCTGTTCCATGAGAGAAAGATGAGGTTTTCTGCTCCAGTAAAGATTTACAGCCTCAGAAACCCTATACAGGGTCACTATGAGTCAGAACTAACTCCAAGGCACATCATCATCACCACCACCAACCCCACAAGAGTTCCACACACCTTATTTACAGTTAGGCTGCCCAAATCTCGTGGTAGGCCGCAAACACCTTATTTGCATAGTCCCATCCAATCATTTTGTGGGAATCACAGGGCAATAAATGGCTAGAAGGCATAGTAAATAATCCACTGAACCTACTTAAAAATATATTCTCCTTTCTGTATAGTTATTATGAGACTAATAAAATGTGAAAATGTGGATTGAGAAAGGCTCCGATCTAAAAATCCACAAGATTTGTGGGTTTTGCTTGTTAAAAATGTCTAGAAGGGAAAAAGATAACATTCTTGAAAAGTTCACTGTTTTCCCTGCCTAATATGACTTTCACAAGGAGCTCTGGTAGTGTAGTGGTTACGAATCGGGCTGCGAACCTTAAGGTCAGCGGTTCGAAACTACCAGCCGCTCCGTGGGAGAAAGATGAGGCTTTCTACTCCTGTAAAGATTTACACCCTCAGAAACCCGGAACAGGGTCGCTATGGGTCGGAACCGACTCGACGGCACTTAACAACAACAACAATATGACTTTCACAGATTACACCAAGAAAAGAAAAATTCCTAAAAATTTCCTACTCCAAATCCAGTTGGAACTCTTAGCAAGGGAAAAATCAAGTAAAACTAAAACCAAATAAAACTAGTCTCTCTTTCTTTTTTTAAAATCTTTCAGATATTAGCCAATAGAACTGGCTTCTCAATTCTATTGTTTGCTGATAATATTATAAAGATGACTATATATGCTGTGGGTTAATGCGCTGGACTGCAAAGTTGGTTTGAACCTCAAAGTTGGCAGTTCAAGCTTATCAGTTGCCCCTTGGGAACCCTATACAGGGTCACTTGGGTTGGAACTGACTCAACGGCACTTAACAACAATAACAATATACAGGGAACATGGTGACTCGGCAGGATAAGCACTGGACTGTGAACCACAAGGCTGGCGGTTCAAGTCCACCAGTCACTACGAGGGAGAAAGATGAGGCTTTCAATTCCTGCAAAAAATTTAGAGCTCCGGAAACCCTATATGGGGCCACTATGAGTTGGAATAGACTCTACAGCACTTAACAACAAAAACTATGCATAATCTTAAACTGGAGGAAAATGGAACACAGTAACCTTAAGAAATCATTTGGTCACAATGAGATACACTTCACACTAGCTGGGATGGATATTATAAAAACAGCAACAATAACAAACCCCACAGAAAATAAGTGTTAATGAGGATGTGAAGAAACTGGACTCCTCATCCACTGCTGGTGGGAATGCAAAATTGTGCAAATGCTTTGTTAAATACTTTGGCAGTTTTTCACAAAGGGAGATACAAAATTACTATATGACTCAGAGGTTACATAGCCAAAAGACTTAAAAACAGGGACTCAAACAGATATTTGATTCACTGCATCCCTATTCATAATCACCAAAAGGTAGAAACAACCCAAGTGTCTAATCAACAGAGAATGATAAACAACATACCTATAATTCAGCTATTAAAACAATAAAGTTCTAATATATATTACAATATGGATGAACCTTGAAAACATCATGCTTAATGAAACAAACCATATATAAAGGATAAATACTATATGATTCTATTTATATAAAATATGTAGAATCGACAAGTATACAGAGATAAAAACTATATTAGTGGCTACCATAGGTAGAATGGAGTCCTGGTGTGGTGCTGTGGGTTAATGCGCGAGACTGCAAAGCTGTTTGAACTGCAAGGTCGGCGGTTCAAGCTCACCAAGCTGCTCCTTGGAAACCCTATACAGGGTCGTTATGGGTCGGAATCGACTTGATGGCACTTAACAACAACAACCATGGGTAGGGGAAAGGGAAATTATTGTCTAATGGTACAGAGTTTCCATTTAGGATGATGAGAAGTTTTGCAAACAAATGGTGATGGTTATACAACAGTGTAAGTGTAATTAATGTGAACTGTATACTTGAAAATGGTTAAAATGGTGACTGTTGTGTATATTTTACAATTAAAGAAAAAAGACCACTTGGACTAAAAAAGAGTCTATATCAAGAAAAAAAAAATCTAAAATATATGAGTGTTATTGCTTTATTCAGGAACTTCACCAAGCTCTTGTTCAGGGTGGGCATTCATTCTCTCAAAGTAATTTAAATCACATTTCATTTAAGAACCAAAAATGAAGACAGTCTTGAGTGCTAAGGAATACTTTTCACATGTTACACCTGCGTTTATCTTAATACTTCAGTTAAAACCAAAGCTGTAATGAGCTGCTATTATTGACAAGTCCCTAAGTGGATGGGGATTTTCCAAAATGAAACTTAATTGGCAGGTGATGATAGCTGTGCTGCCAATAACCTCTAGTCAGTTCTGCACTTTAATTTCCAGAAGAGAGCCAGGGCAAATAAGGAAAGGCAAAGCTGCATATTTTGAAGGCAGACCAGCTGGGGAAATCCAAGTGGATTTTAAAAACACAAAGTGAAATTTGTTTAAATTACAGAAATCTTTCCTCTTTTGCCTTTGTATCCTTAATATTTTAACAACCCTTAATTTTATGATGATTTCCTTTAAAGCATATCAGCTATAAAAAATTGAGAAAGCTGTTAAATTTCCCAAAGAACCTAAAGATATAATTTAATTACTAAGGTATGTCTGACAGAAGTACAATTCATAAAATAAAAATCTGATACTGCTTTTAACCACAGATGATATATCCATGTTTCTCTAAGTAAGGTTCAGAAGGTGAACGTCAAAATGTAAGAGTCACTTCTAAGAAAATGGTTCTTAATTAATGATGCCTAAATGTCAGAATCTTATATAGGTCATACTGGATAAAGAGTAAGACGTTATAAAGTGGGTGGAGGAAAATGTGACCAAACAAGACATAATTAATAAGCTTTTAAGGCTGTCTATATAAAGTGTTTTCTTGTTTAAAGTTATTTAAAGAGTCTTCTTGCATAGAATTCTGCTGAATATTCATAGGAGTCTCATAAAAAGGTATTATAATTCTCATTTGAATAATGAAGAAGCCAAGGGGCATGGTTGTCAGATGATTCTCCAAGGGTTTTGGACCTGGTAAGCTATGGAGCTGTTTTTTTCCCCTCCTTCAAACAGAAAACTGGTTTCATAGGTGATGAGAAAGTCGACACATCAAACATAGTAGAGAGGCAAGCACCTTAGGTATTAGCAACATCAGAAAGCCATCACCACTCCTTGGGCTGGAGGGACAAGGGGAAAGATGGCGTTACCAGATGAAAGCTGGAACTTTGGTGGTCCTGCTAAGTGGAAACTGGGATCAGGGAGGCAAGAAGGGGGACCATGAAGGAAATGCCTGGGAATCATAGCTTCTTGAGATACAAAGCAGAACAAACTGGGATGAGAATTAATTCAAGAACACACAGTCCAATAACCAGCATAAACCAAAGAACACAATGGTTAATGATGGAGATTCTGTTGATAGATTTCCTGACTTTAAATCCCAGCTTTGAATCCTATCACTTTCTAGTATAGTGACCTTGAATAAATTATGTAACAACTCTGGGCCCCAGCTTCCTCAGTTACAAAATGTCGTTGTTTTTGTTAAGTGTTTTTGAGTCAGTTCCGACCCACAGCAACCCTGTAAAGGGTTCTCAAGGAGCAGGTGGTGAGCTTGAACTGCCGACCTTGTGCTTCAAACCGACTTTGCAGTCCAGTGCATTAACCCATAGCGCCACACCAGGACTCCCAGTCACAAAATAAGAATATTAAAATAATTTCCTGGGTGGTTATGGAGATTAAACATATATGAAATCATTAGCCAAGAGTTTGGTCCAGAACAGACACCCAGTGAATGCCATCCATTAAATTGTTTTAACAACTCATCATATACATACACAAGTTAAATCAAGGCCTAAATTTGCTAGTGAGCAAGGCTCAATTATTAGTATGGTAGTGTTCTGTCAAATTGGTTCTGACTCAAATAGACCCTATAGAGTGGGATACTTGACATATCTGGGATAGGACCCTTCTCAAAGAAACAGGTATTAAAACTCCTTTCTTGGAAAGGAATTACTCTTAAAAGATTTCTACATCTTTTGCCATGAATGCATATACTCCAAGCTGAAAATGGTTTTAAAATTTAAAAAAAGATGTATATATATATATGTGTGTGTATATACATACATTCATCAGGGATGAGAAAAATCATTAGCAGTTACCACAATGGAGATATTCAGCTACTTGCCCTGAAAATTGAAGGAGTATTCCTATTTTTCCTTTCCCCATTCAGAGAACTAAACGTTTCTGAACCCATGCAAAGCCCACAGGCATGGATACTCATGCTGCTCGAGACAACTTAACCTCACAAACAGGAGAGAGGAAGAAAATCAGTTCTATTTCTAGGTGAAAGTCCTCTGAAGTGACTTCTTCACTTCCTGTGGTAGATTTTGAAGGATGCCTTGAAGTTAGTAATTTTCATCAGGTCCTGGTGAGACTGTCAATTTCAGGATCTCAACAAGAGGGTTTCAAAAAGTTTGTGGTAGCACCCCCTCCACACACAGAGTAGACAGGGATGGGCAACTTGGACATTGGCTACCCAAAATGAGGGGTGGGGGGCTACAAAGGCAAGAAGTGACTGGCTTACAAGCTTTTAAGAGGGAACCTAGATCCAGAGAGCCTGGAGGAAGGTAGAATCTCCAGTGAGTAGTATTCAATCTGACTAGGCAGGGCTGATGCAATGAAATGCAGACTGGTCTCTTGTGATACAATAGTGAATAATTGTTATCAGGACTGATTGTGAGGGTTGGAAATGTAAAGGTAGACGTTTTATAGCAAGAAGGGGAGTGATTAACTTTTCAGTCAAGGAGTGGAGGTCCCTAGGACCATCAAGGGAGAAGAGCAGAGAGCGGGGACCCTACACAGAGAAGCAGTGATGCCTGAAATGGAGCCAGAGATGATGACGTGGAGCAATGGAGCAGCTGGAGACTTTAGATCCAGAGAGGCAGAGCGACTGTATGCTGAAGACCTGGGGGGTACTGGGGAAGGATTGCATGGAGGGGACTGTAACCATGGCAATGAGACGATATACAATCGAATGAATGTAAAACTAATATTCTCCCATGTAAACTATCACATAATTCACAATAAAACATTTAAGAAAAAAAAAAAAGTTTGTGGAAGAATTCCAACATCTTTTACATCCCAGACCACATGACTGAGGCCCCTCGGTGCCCTGGGATCAGCACACAAAGGGTATACACCTTTCTCTGAGTGTCCTTGTCTTTTTCTTGCTATTTTTACAGTTGCTTAAATTAGCAAACAAACCAACAGGGAATGTCAAATTACAAATGTATTTTTGATTTCTTCTTGACTATTTCTAAACTAAGATTAAAGTGGGTGGCATGAGAAAAAGCCATTCTTCTCCCATAAACTTCTATAGGGGAAGCAATATTGAAGATGATGATGAAAATAATTGCTACTGCTTCTGGAGTGTGTGCTCTCAGCCAGTGTGCTTAGCAACCACAAACGTTTCATCCTCATTTCTACCTTTTCAACCACCACTGAAGGTGACACCGTATACATGAGTGCCACAGGATTTGTTCTAAAACGTCGAGCCACAAGCCGTGTGGTGTGAGACTTTCAGTGTTGCTGTGCTTCAACATGACTATGGCACACGTTCCAAACACCAAAACTTCGTTTTTCCAGGACCACTTCCTTTTTCAATGATGACTTTTTGTGATTCAACTATTTTGCTTAAAACTTCACTCAAACTGCAATGCACTAAACCTTTAATGTCTTTATGCTATGATTGCTTAAGTCCTAACCTTGACACTCTAGTTATGTGAACTCTTTAATCATTTAACAAAGTCAGGATTAATTATATCTGGGAAAGACTAATATCCCAAATAGCTGCCTTAGGTAATTCGCATCTCAACAAATATAACCCCAGAATGTGAAGGTCTGCCATTCACCTGAAGTTCTGAGTGTTCTTTCAGGAGCCGGTCATATTCTTTGGAAAGTCTTTCTGATTGTATCTTCATTGCCATCACATCATTCTGTGCCTTAGAAAGGGCTAGAAGACATTAAACAATTTCATTTTTAAATTTTTTATTTGAAAACAATTTAGAATTTCCAAAAAATTTGCAAGAATTTAAGAGAACTTTACTCAAGTCACCAACTTTCAACAACTTTTCATCATGCTGTATTTCAGTTAGCATATTCTCTATCTCTACACACACATAATTTTCTTGAACCATTCCTCTTTATTCCTTAACACATCACTGTATTTCTTAAGAATAATCAAAATATAACATTATATAGTTATCAATTTCATGAAATGTTATGTCAGTATAATACTTTATCTAATCTACCATCCATATTCCAATTTTGACAATCTTTCAATGATGTCCTTTTTAGCATTTTTTTCCTTTTAGTCCAATATCTGGTCCCAGATCACACACAAGGGTGCTTTAAAAAGTTTGTGAAAAAATTCTGTGTTTTAATTCCATTTTTCCATGAACTTTCTGAAGCCCCCTCCTATTGCATTTAGCTGTCATATTCCTTCAGTTCTCTTTAATCTGGGATAGTTCCTTAGGTCCCCACAGCCCTACCACCTCCCCCTGGCCTGCCTCTGGTCTTTTGTGACATTGACATTTAAAAAACAAAGCCAAGTTACTTAAAAAAAAACACACACACACACACAACAAAACTGGTCTTCATTTTGGTTTTTCTTGTGCTTCCTCATGATAAAATTCAGGTTATGTAGACCACTTATGGAATCTGTGATGGTATGGTGTGGTGCTGCAGGATAATGCACTGGACTGAAAGGTCGGTTTGAAATGCAAGGTGAGCTGTTCAAACCCACTAGCTGCTCCTTGGAAACCCTAAACAGAGTCTCTATGACTTGGAACTCACTCGACAGCTCTTAACAACAACATACCACCTATGGAGTCCTGGTGTGGCACTGTAGGATAAGCACTAGACCACAATGCCAGTTTGAACCACAAGGTCAGCGGTTCAAACTTACCAGCCGCTCCTCAGAAATCCTATGCAGGGTTACTATGGTTGGGGACCAACTCACCAGCACTTAACAACATGCCACTTATATATGAAATATGACACAGTAACATCAAATACTTCTCAAGGTATAACATATGGAGGCCCATCTGTCTGTCTCTCATTGGTTATCCATTTTATAGTTACCGTTTTCCCTGGTGTGGTGATGTAGGATAAGCACTGGGTTTCCAACAACAAGGTTGGTGATTTGAACCCAACATTTGCTCCTAGGAAACCCTCTACAGGGCTGATATGAGTTGGAACTGACTCAACAGCACTTAGAACCAAGGATGGTGGGATTTTGTCTTTCATACTTTGGACATGTAGTCAGGAAGGACCTGGTCCTAGATAAAGGCATCACGTTTGGTAAAGTGGATGGCCAGTGTAAAAGCAAAAGACCCCAACGACATGGACTGACACAGTGGCAGCAACACTTTAAGCTCAATCGTAACAACTGTGAGGACTGTGTAGGACTGGGAATGTTGCATTCTGCTGTGCATAAGGGTCACTGTAAGTCAGAGCATCTAATGACATTTCCCCCTTGAAGCACTAATATGTGGGAAGATATTTAAGACCATGAAAAGACCCTGCTCTTCATAAAAATGTGTTGTTATTAAGTGCAGTGGACCCTGTCTAGGGTTTCCGAGGAGCACTTGGTAAGTTTGAACCGCTGTCCTTATGACTCAAATCAACCTTTCAGTCCAGTGATTATTCTACAGCACAACACCAGAACTACCCTATATTTAGTATCCATTTGACAATTCTTACCCAAACTACTCTTTATTATTATAGTTGAAAAACGGTGATTTTTCCAACTTCACCATTTCCTCCCGCATTTATTATAAGAACGTTTTTTGCCTCTCCAAGGATCCACGTATCTGTCCATCCATTAATAGTATGAACTTATGTCTTAGTTTTTCAATGATTTTTTATTTATTATTGTAGTTAATTATGTTACTGCTCAAATAGCCCCAGATTTGGCCAGTGGAAACATCTTTTGACTCATAGAGACCCTGTATAAGATTTCCAAGGAATGGCTGGTGAGTTTGAACAGCCAACCTTCTGGTTCCAACCGACCTTTTAGTTCAGAGCTTTATCCCACAGGACTACACCAGGACTCCATCCTTTTCAATATGTTCCATCATTTTTCTTTCCTTTTTACCATTCCTTATTTTCTGGCACAAGCTTTCCAGGCTCATTTTAAACCTTCCCAGCCTCTGACCTGGACACAGCCTTATAATAATAGACATATCAGAAAGATCTGCTTCTGAAAATACTGATAGAAAGAAAAAAATATTTGTATCATTCTCGCTAAGAGATGAGTACTTTATATTTTCTTAAGAACAAAGAAAAGAATTTTCTTAAATTAAGTTGAAAATAACAGGTACATTCATAAATTGGACTCCTGATGTGATGCTGCAGGATAAGCACCGGACTGGTAACCCATAAGGTCAGCATTTCAAACCCACCAGCTGCCTCTTGAAAACCCTATACAGGGTTGCTATGAGTAGGAACCAACTCCAAGGCACTTAACAACAACTCATAAAATGAACCCATACTATAATTTCATTGTGTCAGAAAGATGGCTTTTAAATTTCTAAAGCTCACTTTTTAATTAAAATCCCTACCTTAAAAGAATTATAAATGCAGAATTATATATAGAACTAAGGGCTATAAATGCAGAATTATATATAGAACTGCTTCAGAATTCCAAGATTTGGAAAAATGATTTATGAATGTACCATATAAAGGGAAAATTTTTAAGTATGACTTCTTAATATCTGCTATTTCCAATTTCTTCATCACCTTCTATATATTTTGCTTATTAGCTTCTTCCGTACAAGATGCTGACTTACACGCTCAAATTTGCATGTGTGTGTGTGAGGGTATACAAGTGGGCTGCAAAAAGTTCATTGCAAATTTCTATTACCTTTTAATCCCATTTTTCCACATTTGGAAAATTTGAAGCCCCTTCCTATAAGTAGCACTTTAAGACTTTATCTAAAGTAATGACAATAAAAACATCCATCTGTTAGTCTTTGTTTATCTAGGTACTACAATTATAACCCAGTACATTAATTTTCTTCGAAGTTAAAAAAAAAAGATACACACACATCCATGTATCTATGTCTGTATGTAATACACACACACACACACATTCATATAGGCAACCTTGTTGCCTTTAATGGCTGAGAAACTATTAATTATATGACCATTTTAATACAAATATAAGTCACAGTCAATTTAAGTGCATTTTGTAGTAATACTTTATAGGTGGTGGTGGTTATGTGCCGTGGAGTTGGTTCTGACTCATAGTGAACACTGCATAAGGTATCCGTGCCTGTAAATCTTTATGGGAGAAGAAAGCCTCATCTTTTTCCCATAGAACAGCTGGTAGTTTCTAACGGCTGACCCGATTCATAACCACTGCGCTACCAGAGCTCAGGTAGTATTGTTAAATTTAACCTTCTGCAATGATAGAAATATTCTACATCGGCAGTGTCCAAAATGGTGGACACTAACTACATAGAACTATTAAGTACTTTAAATGTGGCCAGTGTGACTGAAGAAGTGAATTTTAAAACTTAATTCAATTTTTCTTTAATTACACTTCAGTTTAAAAGTCATGTGTGGCTAGTAGCTGCTAGCTGTACTGTAGCTGTATTAGGCAGTTGTTGTTACGTGCCGTGGAGTCGGTTCCGACTCATAGCGACCCTGTACCGGGTTTCCAAGGCTGTATATCTTTACGGGAGCAGAAAGCCTCATCTTTCTCCCGCGGAACAGCTGGTAGTTTCGAACTGCTGACCTTGCGGCTCACAGCCCGATTCGTAACCACTACG